GGTTCTCAGTGGGAAGGCTCCCCCTTGTGCCTCTGAATATTCTGTGCCTTTGATTTGTGCTGCATTAATATCCAGGTGAAAATGCAACTCTCACAGGCAGCAGGGCTGGGGGAGGGGGTAAGAAAGATTTGAATCCTGAGTCTTCCTCTCTCCCCTCTTCCCAAGGATTCCAGCTCTTTGCAACCTCTCCTTTCTCCCAGTTCTCTTTCTAGAGGCACAAAGCCACACTCCAGGGTTTCTAAGCTCAGTGTCTTGGCCTTCCTTCCATTTTCTCAACCATGTCGGAACCCAAAAGTTATACAGAAAGCTCTGTAAATTTTAACCCTTTTGCTACTATCTGTATGCTCTTCCCTGCAGCCAGCTGGGCACAGATGGCCAGCAGAACTGCCCCCAACAGTGGCCAGCTGGCTGTAGCAGGATGGTCCTATGTTGAGATGAATGGCGTTCAGCAGGCAGCTGCCCTAAGGTGAGGGTGTGCCCATAACCACTTGTGGCCCGCAGCACTTACTGCAGACCACCTCTTCCCACATGCAGTGGGATGGCTGGTTCAGGCTGTTGCCCCGGGCCCATTTTCAGTCTTCTGGCCGCCTCACCATCAGTTTTGGTGTATGAGAACCAGCCCCAAGTTTCCTATCACTGAAGGAAGAGGCAGGCAGATCCAGACTTGTGGAGTACTATTTATTAGGGATGTGTAGACAGAAGCAGGGTCCTGGGTGACAGCAAGACCAGATAGATCCCAAGTGGTCAAGGCCAAGGTAACTCCATTCAGGCCAGCAGGTACCTGGCTCATCTCAAGCTAATGTCAAGGCCAGACCAGGCCACCAGGGTCTGGATAGAAAGTTCCACAGACCAATCTACTGGTCTTCACTCTATATAGTAGGCTGGGAAACTACGCAGTGAAAACCAGCCAGGGTTACCCAGAGGCATTCACAGTAGTGACTACAGATGGCTGTTATTTTGGTTACTTTTCTCTCATTGGTGAGACAAAAATACCTGACACCCAAAGTTAAGGAAAGAAAGGTTAGGGGCCAGGGAGATAGCTCAGTAGAATAAGCGCTTCCCTGGCAATCACAAGGGCCTGAGTTCAATCCCCGGTTCCACCAAGGAAAAAAAAAAAAAAAGAAAGGTTGATTTAGCTTGCAGTTTGTGGAGGTTTGAGTCTGTAATCAGCTGGCTCCAAGGCAGGGTGGCATGGTCAGGGGCAATAGTTCAAGGTGGCAGAAGACAGAAAAAGCAACAGGAGCAAAAGGGGTGTAGGGGAACAAGCCTCTTTTCCTCCCTTATATTGTAAGCAGGCTACCTGTGCTCCACTGAGCGTAGCACTCACACCATCTCCGTGCCCTACAGGTTGAGGATGCTTACACAGTGAGGCCCCTGGCCCTGGCTGAGTCCCTTAGCTAAGCTTATGAACAACATCCTCAAGAGTAAGAGCATGAGCTCTACACTCGGGGATGTAGAACTGCTGAGTTAACTGCTTCGTTAAGCTTCTAGACTTCTCCAGTTGATACAGGGTATCAACCACTACAGGCATGGTCAGGTCAAGCTAAATCTGCACCCAGTTCTATTGCTGGGGAACTGGCAGTGACAAAACGTAGCGCACATTAGTGATCCATCAAATGTTCTGGATTTAAAGCTTTGGTTTTTTCGTTTCTGCTTTTTTTTTTTTTAAGAGAATTAGACAAAATCAGTACCTGATATTCTCTTCCTCCTAATAAGCAATTCACTTTTATTCCTAAAGCAGAGGAAAGGGAGTTTCCAAGTAGACAGATATGCTTTCAAACTGTCTCACAAACACTGGTCTTCATCAGGACAAGGACAGTAACTACCAAGCAATGAGTGCTGGCTAGCTGAGACGGGTGGAACAATTTAAATCGGTTAGATTTTGCTCATTTCTCGTATGTTTCCAGCTTTAACCAAGAAGCCATCTTTATGCCCAATCGTCCACCAGGATGCTTCGACCCACTTTAGTCCTGCCTGTCTAAATATGCAGACACTCCCTCACACTATGAATTGTCCACGACCCAGCCTCCTATTCTATTATGGATGTTTAAAGGCACTGAATAAATATGAAACAGGGGATGTCTTTGCTCACATATTTGAGGCCAAGAAAAATCCAATCCCCTGCCACCTACAAAACTTATTCCTGAGTGATGTTGATACGCCAGATGTTGAGGAAGTAAGCTAAGATAGTTATATCCGTTTCCTGAGTGGCCTTCAAGACCTCTGACAGCGCCTTTGTGATTGGGACACCCATACTTCTAGTTTATTATCACCCTGTTTAGGGGAAAACTTGTCAGATTTACCTGCCATGTGGCAGCATACCTTTCTTCTGGGGCAATTTTTCCTCTGCCAGAAACCCAGATCCTAATTGTCACCCCCTTCCATCCTCTCCTGACCTTGCTAGCCCAATAATTTTTTCCTTTTTCTTCATCACTCAGAAAATGCCCTTCTTTCGAATGCCTTCTCGACTCTCACTCTACCCCCTGCTCACTCTCCTTTACAATAAAATGTGGATGTCAACCTGCACACGGTTGGCACCCACCCTCAAGTCACTGGTGATTATATAGCCTTAAAGCATCCCTGATACAGTCCCAGCCACCGGGTCACCGGGCCTTAACCAGCAAGCCCTGCATAGTCTGGGCCCTTCCTGCACCAGGCAATCCATGTGCCATCTCACTCATCTTATTAACAGGACAACACAGTGCTGCACTTGGCAGCATAAGGTTCTGACAAGTCTGCCAGGGTTTAAATCCAAGGCTCAACACTCAGTAATCTCTGAAGTTGCTGAAACTCCATGTGTTTCAGTTCTTCCTGTAAAGTATTTTTTCTCTTACCACTGGTGAATATTAATCAAGTGCATGTGTAAAGCACCTAGATTACCTAGCTTTGTTTTTTTTGTATTTTTAGGACAGGGTGTACAGGGTCTCACTGCATAGATCGGACTCATAGTGATCCACCTGTCTACAGCCTCTCAACTGCTGGGATCACAGGCACACACCACCATGCCCAGTCTTAATCGCCCTCTCAGCACGCCCCATCTGCCTAAGCAGGTGCTTTAATCTGCTGAGCTATTTGGCTGGCCCTTTTCTAGTAATCACTTCTAAAATGTTATCATTTATTACCTATTTTACAGTTAAGGACAATTCTATCACAGGGTTAGTACTAGCGCTGGGACTGAAACCCAGGTTTCTTAAACCTGAACTCCAAACACCGCTACCCAATTACTCTCCTGTTTATAATACAGCAACATAAATGAAACTAAAAAGCGGTACATTAAGCTAAAGAGTGACACAGCAGTACTTTATTACGTGACACCATGCAATAGAAGCCATACTTACAGTTGCCTAACCACAGAATGTAGATCACTCAGAAACAGCAGTGCTGGTAATTCAACTACTGATCTTTACATAAAGCAAAAAAAAATTTTTTTTGGCAGGGGGCACTAGGAATTGAACTCAGGATCTCAACAGTTGCCAGGGAGGTGCTGTACCACTGAGCTAAATCCTCTGACCCAAGTAAAATGGTTTTAAATGGTTTATCGTCTTAAAATACAAGTTTATACTGATTAGAGTTGTTTCCTTTTTTTTTAATAAAAGCACTCTATTGAACCAAAAGTTATGTGGCTTTTAAAAACATTTAACATTTAAAGTGGTATCATGTGCCCAAAATAACACATTTCCTTCATTTACAATAAACGTGTAGCTATGATTAGTCACATTGACATTACATAGGTACTATGCCTAAACCAAATTAAAAGATTTAAAAAAATAAAATACTTTCTATTAGCAATCTGAAGTCAGAGCTCAATAAATAGAATTCTCTCAAAGTAAGGCATCATATCCTCAGTAATTTTTATAATTTAGGATGCTAAAACGGAAATAAACAGGACATGGGGGCGAGATATACACAGAAGTAATTTCATGATTTTCCTCACTTTGATTCTATTGCTTTCTTCTTTTCAGGAGTAAAGTCCTTGACTTCAAAAGTAACAAAATACTTGAGAAGGGCATTCACATCTTCCAGTTTTAAATGGTATTCCTGTGCTATTTTCTCCGCAGTCCATGTTTTGGGATTAAGTTTATGATTATTGAGAAGCGTCAAGGCCTCTACGATGGAAACTCTGCCCTTGGGAATGTTCTTAATATCCACACCAAAGTGCTGGCCCTTTGGCAACCTGAATTCCTTCGGCTCTTGCTGTGTTTCGGCACTTCTTACCTAATATCAAAAAAGAAAAAGAAAAGGCTTTTAGAGTAAGACTTCGCAGTTTTAAGTTTTTGAATATTTTTTATTAGCACACACTGGTATCTTCTTTTTCCCTCCTTTCCCTCCCTTTCTAGATCTCTTACCCACTTACAAAAAAGCTGTCTCCTTCATCTCTGTTAAACATCCTTTACTGTGTTCTCTTCACATTTCTCGATTGAAATCCACACTTTTATCTACACGATGTTAATCCTTCTTTAGTTAACCTATAAATTCTAAATCAATTACACACAAAATCGAAATAGGGCTTTCCCTTCTGCTACCACTTAAATTGTAATATGCTGGAAATTTTGGCCATTTGGAAATCTGCACTAACAGTACTGCTTATGTGTAAAGACATCACAAATCATGAAAAACCTCTGAACTGCCCAAAAGAGAAAAAGGGGGCAAAATACTCATGTAATTCAATTTTTCATTAGCACTCTCCCTGTGGAGTCATTTAAGACTTTCTGATGCTTCCTGTGAAATTCTGATACCATTGTATGTGTCTTATGTATTATGTATGTGCTTTATACATTAAAAATTAATTTTTTCACTCCCCAAGAGCCAATTTTATTTTTTTACCCTTTCTAATCATTTCTATATATGGTACAAGATTTCACTAAGCAGCATGAACTTGTAGTGATCCTCCTGTCTCAGCCTCCCCAGCACTGGGATTACAGGCGTGCGCCACCATGCCTGGTTTCAGTGGCCGGCACAGCATGTGGTACCGGGGATCAAATCCAGGTCCTTGTGCTTGCCAGGTAGGCACTTAGACGGCTGAGCTATCTCCCCAGCCCAAAAAGACAATTAAATTGCATTATTTAGTATAAAGTGTCAGAACCAATACTGGAAATATTGCTCAATATTAGTTGACTAACAATACAAAGAACATGGATATCAGAGTACATATGTACCATGTACTTTTTAAGTGATCATTCACTAATAACCAAGCCATGCCAATCCCCAATCTTCTTGTGCTTTATTTTTTTGTAGTACTGGGGATTGAAGTCAGGACCTTGTGCACGCAAGGCAAGAACTCACAGAGCCACATCCCCAGCCGCAATCTTCTTGTGTTCAATGAAAATTACATTAATAACTACGTGCGAACAGTCTACTGCCTATCTGCAGCCAGTGCCAAAGAACTTCAGAATGGAAAAAAAAAATCTGAAAGTTTTTTAGCACTTCCTTTTCCTCTGACCAATCTCCTTCCCTACCCAGAACCACTCCTCCGTAAACTTCAATTCATCCTTCAATGTCACATCCTCAGAAAGCACCTGCCATTCAGGCCCTTGTAATACACTCTCACACCGCTTATAATCATTTGTATACAACTGTTCATCTGTTTAGTGGCTGTGTCCCACACATCACAAGCCTTGTGAGAATTAAGAAATAGGCCTGGGTGGGGGCTGGCCAGATAGCTCAGCAGCTTAAAGTGCCTGCTTAAGCAGGGTTCGATCCCCAGTTTGCAGTGGCAGCGCCAGTGGCAGCGCCAGTGGCAGTCAGCGCCAGCCCCGCCCCACCCATGGGACTGGCTGAGATGGTGATTGAGACTGGGTGTGGTGGCACACACACCTGTAATTCCAGCCCTTGGAAGGCTGTAAATAGGAGAATCACTACAGGTCCAATCTATGGAGTGAGACTCTGTAGATCCTGCACATAAAAAAATAAAATAAAAATAAAAATAGGCCCAGGCTGGGGAAGATAGTTGGGCAGCATGAGCACCTGTTTTTTCATCACTCTATACAAAGCACTTGTACTCGGCACTTAATTACATAAGAACTTGAATATTATGTGGATGAACACACATTATATGGATTCTTATTCTCCATGTATCTGTGATTCTAATTTTACATATCCTATCTGAATATACCTTAAAAATATTGTTTGCATCTCACAAACCCAACACAAAATGGGTCCTTGAGATCAAAACATATTTCAATTCAGACAATTTAAAAAAAAAATATATATATATATATATAGGACTAAAGGTCTACCTTTCTAAATCCTACGAATTCTAAAATATCAGTATGTGGGGGCGCGCACCTGTAACCCCAGCGCTCCGGAGGCTGTAAACAGGCGGATCACTATGAATCTGATCTAGCAGTGAGACCCTGAACACCCTGTAGACCCTTCCTTAAAATACCAAAAACAATAATAATAAATAAAGTAAAATAATATTAGTAATCCGGTACTCAATCAGTCCTTCCACAGATCTTCAGAACTGTGGCAAATGGTCAACCACCACGGCTGGTGTCTTGCCTCAATCATTTTGCTGAAGGTTTTGCCAAAGCACCGGACTTTGGCCACACCTACTCCGACACTTACACTTAATTCACTTTTAGCACTTGTGATACTTCTCTTAATCATTTTTCCAGAGCCCCAAAATAAGTTATTTACTTAATCAAAAAGTCATTACCACCAGGGATGATGCAGGATCTTTGGAATCAACATATACATCTTTCAGCAATGACAGCAGTTTTTCATTTTTGTTAGCAATTTCTCCCTTAACTTCTGGATGGCCTAAGGAGGAAAAAAAAAAAACAATCACAATATTAAAAAATAGGCCCGGGAGATAGCTCAGTATAATAAGCGCTTGCTTGGCAAGCACAAGAGCCTCAGTTCAATCACTTGGGCAGCTCGGAAGGCGCGCTAGCTATCCTGCCGCGGAGCCTGGAGGAAAGTCGGGCCGCAGGCGAGGGCCGCGGACTCCGGTCGCCGGTTCCAAATTCTCCTCTAGCTCGAAGGGCAGGCCGAGGTCGCCCTCCGCGTCGCCGGACCCGGGTCCCCGCGCCCGGCGCGCGGCTCACCGCTCATCTGCTCCCGCAGCGCGCTCCGGGTGGACGGGTGCCTCGGGGCCGCGGACGGCTTCACCTTGCTGATTTCCCGCTCTGCTCGGTTCTCCAGGTTGAAATTCCTGAGCGCCCGCGCCACCGAAGCCCCCATGCTCTCTAGGACATGATGCATCCAGGCTGCAGACGCACGTGGGTGACCTCCAGGTGCACCGGCGCCGCTGAGGTCAAATCCGCGGCGCTCCCGGGAACAGCAGCGAAATACGCGCTCGTCGCCCCCTGGCGGCCGGGAGGCTACACAGCGCGTCCCTGCCCTTCATTACCGAGGCACGCTTCCTTCCGGGGCGGAGCATGCTCTCCCATGGGGGGGCTGAGCCGGAGGGGCGGTCCAGAGGCCTCGCGCTGTCCAACCAGGAGTCGCGAGTGGCTCGGGGGCGTGTCCACGTCAGGCCCCGCCCCGCCGGCCTGCGCGACGCGGGCAGAGGGTGAGGACGCGCGGGAGCTTGGTCGCTGCTGTAACGTCCAGGTGGATTCGGGTGGAGGGCGCCCGGCGGGTCATTGCCGAACAGCAGACGGGCTTCTAAAGTTCCTCTTTCCTGTTCTGGTGAAAGGAAGACAAGGAAAGGGTGTTCCTTCTCCTTGAGTATTTGTTCTCAGCCGCTGTTATTTCTTTGTCCCGTTTTCCTGACCCCGCGTCTCACGCATTCTCTCAGCCACCGTTTTCTTCCACTTTTTTGATACTTCGCGTTTCCAACTCGTTTTAAAAACGAATGGTATTCATTTTAGTTATACATCCCTTCCACATCTCCTTCTTGCTATTACTGATTTGGTTTACTTCTGGACACTATTAAGCACCGAGGAACCCTTTCCCTCCTTACCCAGTTGTCTGTCTTCCGTCCTTGGTCTTCTTTTTTTATTTTTTATTTATTTTATTTATTTTTTGCAGAACTGGGGGTTGAACTCAGGCCGTTGCGCTTGCCAGGGAAGCGCTTATTCCACTGAGCCATCTCCCCGGCCCTGGTCTTTTATTTTTTTTAATTTGTAAACTTGAGAAAGTATAGCTTACATGAAGTCAGTGCACGTGGAGGAAAGCCCAGCTTACGTGTGCTCGCCCCCTTGCCCTGTCCCCCACCTCTTCTCCATTTCTGATGGTTTCCTCAGTGCTTGTGCTTCTTCAGAAATACTGGGATGGATACAGAAGAGAAGAAACCTGCCAGGATTGACGTTCTCAACAAATCTGCCCCTAGTGCACTCATCTCCTCTTAGTAAAATAAAATACACTGGTGGTTCTTAACCGGTTTATGGTAAGAAAAAAAAAAATGATATAAATATGTAATTGAAGAAATTTTTAAATCAAAGGAAAGGATGGTTTTAGTAAGAAACTTAGTGTTGCTCTTAAATGTAATGCTTAGTAGTGGAGGCACGACAAGCAGTACAGCTTTCCACAACTTAATTATCATGACATGTTTTTACAAGGGTTAGTATTTGAAAATTCTGAGTGTTCTCTGTTGAGCTAATTTGAAAGTTATCCTGAAGGTGGCAGGCTGCTCCAAGATTTCTGACTTCCAGATAAGCAGTTTTCTAATCTGGTGAGTTTTAACCAGCTTTTGTGGATGCCAAGAAAGTTTCATCTACTTCCTCATGTCTCTCAGTAACTTTAACAGTTATTGTAGCAATTCACTCACTGCTTATTAAAATATTGTAAAACGAAGATTTCATTTTCATAGAAATTCCCCCAAACTTCAGGCTGCATTAAAAAAAAAAAATTAGAAGTTAAAATAAGGACTGAGGGAGGTGATTACAAATTGAAGGAGTTCTTTGAATCCCCATATTTAGTGAGGAGCTTGGGTTCAGCGTCCTTTAAGAAGCATCTCAATATGAACCAGCTGCTTCACCTGTTGCAGGCCTGGTGCTCCTCCGACCCTCGACTCTCGAGGAGCAAAAAAGAATGCGGAGGAGTGTCACCAGGGCAGTTACTTTCATCCTCTGAGAATCATGGAAATAAAGCCTGAAGCATAAATGCATAATTCTAGTTCTTCTTGTCAAAACATGTAAATTAACAGGAAGGCTGTACTTAAGAACCCCTTGGACTTAGGTGAAACAGTTGAACTACTGAGGTTCACCAAGAAAGTATAGCCTGGATGTCCCTCAAAATTAAGGTTTGGTCAGATTAACTTGTGCAAAGTTGGCTTCTGGTAGCAGGGTATTGGGGCAGAGACAACCAGTCCAAGGCCTGGTCTTCAGCTCAGGGGCCTGCTTGTCTTTCTGTTCTTTGGACATTTAGTTGGTACCTACTTTGTATTAGCACCATGAAATATACTGTGTACAACTGGAAACAAAACAGATAAAAATCCCTGTTCTTGGTAAGTTTGTATTCTACTGTGTTTGCAAGACCCTGGGTTCCTTTCATTAATGTTCACTCCACTTAGGTAATGTTCACTCCACTTAGATAAAAGCTTATTTGTTTTGAGAGGAGGTTTCACTGTGTAGCCCAGGCTGGCCTCTGACTCAGCAGTCTTCCTGCTGGGATTACAGGTGTTTGCCACAATGCCCTGCCTAGCTTCTTTGTCCTTTGTGCTGCTTTCCATTTTCTAGACAAGCAAAAGAATGTTTAAAAAGGAACTATGCTGAAACTCTGTAGGTGAGTGAAAGAGGTACAATAACTGAATGACTGGAACTAAAGTAAGAGTCATTCTTTAAGAATTTTATAAAAATATAGATATTCTAAATTCAGACCTTAATTACTGATTAGCATGCTCTGGCAGTATTGGATACACTTTGGTTGGAATATGGATGAGAATCACCTGCCTACTCTGACCTTTGCCAGTCCTTCTCTCCCTCCCTCACCCCCTCTCTCTTTCTCTTCCTTCCTTCCTTCCTTCCTTCCTTCCTTCCTTCCTTCCTTCCTTCCTTCCTTCCTTCCACAGCATTACATCTTGGCAGACTGCAGATACAAAACCTAGGAGACAGCTGACTGAAGGAGCCCAGATTCCAGAAGTTCATTGAACAAAATCTTAACTAGTAGGGGCAGCACAGCAGGATAATGGAGGAATGACAGCCTGCAGGGTTGTTGCTGTTCAGAGAGAGCCTCTGAACAAGACTTAAGTGCAGGAACCATGGTGTTTTTAAGAGTCCAAGTCATGTAATTGACAAGGTTCCCAAGCTTGGCTCCTTTCATAGTGATGTTTGTGAACCCTAGAAGGGGCGTGGGGCAGAATACAGGTGGCCTTATGCAAATCTAGTACTCAAACTGAGAAAAATTAGTTGTCATAAAATTACCAACCAGCATTTATGCCTAGATATCTGCTTTGTAGTTACTTCTGTCATTGTGTTAGTTTCCTGCTGCTCCTAACAAGTAACCATAAAAGACTGAACAATCCATTATCTCCAAGTTCTAGAGGTTAGAAATCCACCCTAGATCTGAAGAGGATAAAATCGATGGGCCAGCAGAATTGTCTTCCTCCCAGAAGCTCCAGGGGAAGATCCCTGTCCTTGCTTTTGTTTCTAGCAGCTTCCTGCACATCTTGGTAGCCAGCACTTGTATCATTTCATGGGCTTGTATCCTGTATGCTTTTTTTGCCTCCCACTTTCCCTTTTAATACTGATTACATTGTGCCTGTGTGGAGAATCCAGGATGACATCTTCATCTCAATATACTTAATTAAATGTACAGAGTACCCTTTGCCAAGTAAGGGAATATGCACAGGTAAGGGGATTAGGAGATGAACATCATGGGAGGGCACTGTTCCCCCAGTGTCACTTGGCAGTATCCACATCTCCCAGGACCTCTGAACATATTAGTGCAAAGACAGAATAGAGAAGATAGTGCCTACTAGGCTTCATTCAGCCCCATACAGTTTATGTTACAGAAAAAATAAGTGATTATTAAAAGAATAAAACTGTCTTACTTTACTACCACTTTATTAGTCTCGTATACTGCCCAGAGATCCAACTCTTAGTACCTAAATCTCTCAGTTCCTCTGGAGAGTTTGTACCTCTCAATCAGCAAGAGTACAAAACTCCCTGCATATAAAACAGTATTAATAATTATGACATATTAGAGACTCCAGAAGTCCATCACTCCTCTTTTACTCATCTTTCCATTGTTTCCCTCACAGCGTCCCCACCTTTCATTGTTTTTTGCATTAGTTTTTCTCTCTTCTGTCCTTGTATCCTCTTGTAGAATGTGGGTGCTCCTGGAGAGGGCAGGCCACTTGTGAGACAGCTTATCAGTTCCCTAGAGCAGAAGAAGACAGCTACATAAAAAAGTAGAGGCCACACATACTGGAAAAAATGCTTGATGAAAATAGAACACCAGATAGACTCACACAGGAATGCTGGTGAACACTGGTTTTGAAACTTCTTCAATATGTGGTTTTGCAATGATTTCTTTCTTTTTTTTTTTCCCCATAATTTTATTGAGAAACAAATAGCAGTGAATGTAACTATATATCTAGCCTAACGATTTTGAATACACAGATACAAAATAAACATTCATCTGTATACCTTTTTTTGTGAAGTTCCATCATTTAAATATTATAGGTGTATAAACTCAGCAAAATATTCTAAAAGAGTTCAGTAGTCCATAATACTATTGGGTCTTCCACTTCACTGGCAGTGTCAGAAATTGTTGACGTGAGCCCCTATAGCTCAATATAACACCATGACTTTACTTCTTATACTTCATTTTTATACTTTTCTGCTGGATGGTTAAGAACAAGGTAAAGCAAGACTTAAGCAAAAAGAGTTGTAGCTTTTGGGTCTGATAAACTCAGTGAAATCCCCTCAGGATTTATCCTGAGATCCTGTACCTCAGATTGTAGAACCTTTGTCACTATTAGCCATGTGGATGAGTCGGGGCCATTGCTTGGCCAATGTGCTCTCTGTGAAAGCCTGAGAGAATGTTTTCTCTCTATGTGACTCTCCTTAGGCACACTCTACATCATTGATTCCTTTCTTCTTTGGCCCCATAATCTCCTTGATCAGAAAATTTGGGACACTACTGAGTTGCGTGACGTTACAGTACAGTAGTTTCTCATATGTCCTGAGTCTTAATTGACCTTGGGAGGATGGGGCCAAAATGTTGGCTTTCCTTACGGCCCTTCTTTTTCTCTAATTTTGGTCTGGAAACTTAGGTTGTTAACCCTACAGAAGAGAAGCTTATTATTATCCTACATCTTATGCAGTTGGGTTTAACTTCACTATCTGTCTGAATATCAAACATCTTAGGCATAACATGGAACAGGTATTTTTCATCAAGTATTGATATGTTGAA